CCCCCCCCCCCCCTAACTCCATCCTCGCCAGAGCTTTCCGTACTGCCACCCACCCTTTGGGTTTAATGCCACCGCCACAAGCCTCTTAACTTAGCACTAACTAGTTAGTAACTATCCACTTGGACTTCCAACTATCAGCGTATAGCACTGGGGTTGACAGCGGTCAAACGCGGAGTTGACTGCATGTGTATGATGATCGTTCTCAATATTCCATCTTGTCACTTCTGTCCGTATAAATAGCTTCTCATAGTGGTTTTGATATGAGAAAGTTCTCCGGCGACTTCAACCCCCCGCCAACCCCTTTCGCCAGCCATGCTCGCACAGCTGCTGCTGCACCTGGCAAGGAGAAGAACATCGACTTTGGCATATGGTGGCTGTTTTGAACTTGACAGCCCCTTTCAACCTCGAGATTGACATCGCTAGACCCTCAGTTGAGTAAACTCATGCCAGGCCGTGTAAATCCAGACGTTGTTGGATGGTGGTAGATTGGTGAATATCAAGGCAGACTTCCAATACTGTATAGTTATTTCACCCCAAAAGGCACAGTACCTCAAACAAGGCCAACATCAGCCGCTGTGGAGGTCATCAAGCCTCGTACTGGTCAATCCACCACCGTACCAAAAAGAAGAGTCAAGTTTGGAGAAGATGGAGCAGGTCAGGGCCCACGGGCATAATATGGTTGAGATGAGAATGTAAGTCGAAACATGCTGTGGCTCCTCTCACTGCGCTCTTGACTTGGAGTTTACTGGCCCCGCTAGCAGGAGTTGCTTGACGAATGGCTGCGGCCAGTAGTTATAGTTGACCCGATAGTTCAGGGCACTCCTATGATGCCTCAGGGCCGCTTCTTTAGTGACTGAGATCTGCGACTTTCGCTTCTCATACAAACTCTGAAGCCCTTTGATCTTTGTCAGATTCTCCGATCATAGGCAGTAGTGAAATTGTGTAGGCTTCGAAGTCGCAGGGTAGCGGCTGAGATGCGATAGAAATTCAGCACACTGGCCTGTAATTCACACATGGTCGATACTTATTGAGGATACGAGGCATTTCAATCTGACACGGCGATTCTTCTAGTATCATGCTATGCACGGTCGGATCTGTTTGATATGGAATGTTTTTGGAGCATGCGTGGTAGCATGGATCCACCTAGTGTTGTCTCACCTTCGAGTGATGTATCTTTCAGCCTCAAGCTCGCCGAAGCCTCTTAATCTAAGACTTCACTTTATCTCGGATGAGTCCATAGAGCTTCAAGCAGCGACCTACCACATTTGATATGAGCCCAAAGCAGGCCAGAACTGTCTTTTATCAAGGTGTTTGCACGCTGCACTGCGTTTATGGTATGGGACGACGTGCATGTTGCTGAAGACCACTTTTCAACTTAGCTTAACTCATACAAAGAAAGCCCAGCCCAGACAGTAATACAGACATTGGCCTCTTCCGGCTCTTCCGGCACAGAAGCTTATCAAATTTTCAGCATCTTTTGAGAGACATCCTGTGCTTTTATCTACCCGAGTAAGTACAATCCAGCCCAGAGTCCCGGGCTGGGCCGACGCTAGCATCACAGAGCCGGCGCTACTAAGCCCAGGCCAGGTACCGTCCACTGCTCTGCTATTCTAGAATTACTACGGAACACGGTGTGTTGACTGGAGGAATCATGATGCTGTTGGGTTTGTTTGTGTGAGAAAGTATTCGGATGAAAGAGGATTTCGATTCAGAGCATACTATCTCATAGCCCATGATAGAAGACTCGCGCGGTGCCATGTTCCTCATTTTTATACAAAGTATTCTATATGCCGTACTAGAAAGGAGGGAAGAGTGTTAAGAGCGCCCTCTCCAGGTCAGATGCTAGGCCAGAAAGAAAGATAAGCCAAATCTCTGCGACTGGGCAAAGTGACCATTGTCAAACCTGAAAGGTGGCAGGTTGCCGTGACAATAGGTGTAATAACTCAACAAGCTGCTGAATACGGTTTGTTCCGACTTCCTCCATTCCCGTGTTACACGTGACTCGCAGGCCTTTTCCGGATCGGTCGCGGGAGAAAGGGTGAGTGACCACGGTGATGAAGGAGCCCAGCAGTGAAAGACAGACAGACAGACTCCCTTGGGGGGGGGGTAACCGCAACATCGCGGCGAGAACTGATTCCATCCTATCCTATCCACACCTCTCTTCCCTCGACCCCCATCCCATCATCCCATCCCATCCCATCCCATCCCATCCCATCCCATCCTACCCATCCTAACCATCCATCCATCCCCGTTCCCTTTTTATCCACCATCGTTGTCATCCTCTTTTTTCTCTCTAGATCCATTTTGGGTACCTCTTCCCCCCTAAACGATACTCCATTTTCTCCCAATTTTCTACGGTTTCCTCCCACCCCGCGTCACCCATCTTGACACGGTCGCGTTTTTCCCGTCTCTGATTTTCTGCCTAATTTTTCGACTCCCCCTTCCCTTTTTTTTGCGCGGATGGTCTAAACCCGCACCTCTAATCCTTTCCTTCCAGTCCCGCACACGCGACCTTGTCGGCCTGGTTTTCAAGGCACGAACGTTCATTTGGGTTCGGTACCACCCACCGAGAGTCCTGTCCTCTATTGCAGGGCTAAGCTACAAAGCGGTTGACGCTGAACGTTCGGATTAACTTACCGGGCCAACCGTCTCGCAACGAACTCTTTTATCACCGTGGCCCCCATTCCAAAATCCCTCTCCCCCGGCGGCCGATCTGACGGGCAATGGGGGATGCCTCCTCTATCTGCTTACACCCCCTTTGAGTCGCTCCTCTTTTTCCAGTCCCTCGCTGCCTTAGATGCTCGACCCGCGAATTTCGCGACCATCTCCGATGTTCTCCGCAATAATCCATTCATTCGCCAGAATGCCGCGTTTGATGCCGGGAGACTCGCCCCGGAGGCCCTCGAGGACCTCTATACGACGTTGATGAGGGAAGGTGTCGACTCGATCGGTGTCGTCGCGGCTCATGAGCCAAATGGTCGCCATGCTGAGAGTCCGGTTAACCCGAAAAAACGGAAGATTACGAGCCCACAGCCAGATGGGTTGTCCGAAAAAGGGTCGAGCCATACCAGCCTAATGCCAACCCTGGTGTCGCATCTGTACGCTAGGTATAAGGAGCTTGTGACGAGGGAAATTAGGAACGATGAGATGAGATACACGGAGATCCGAAACGAGATTGAACTGTTGCAGAAGGAAGAACGCGAAGCACAGCCAGAGGCCATTATGCGCCTGCCGCAGCAGCCAGTTGCACCTCCGAAGCAAGAACATGCGCCGGAACCAATGGACTTGGATGTGAAGGAAGAGAGACCGCCCCAGAAACCTATGCCCGCACCAATTCAGTCAAAGCCTCCGCCGCCGGTCGTGGATAGGGCGCAAGCACAGCCCGTGCCGCAACCCAAGGACTTGCAGCCGGATAAGCAGCCACCAAAGGCTATGCCTTACCTACCTCAGACGCCTTCACAACTCCCCAAGCAACCAGCAGGACAGTCACTAAAAGATCCGGCCAGACCAATTCAGCCGCAACCTCAACAACTGCAGCCATCGGTGCAACCACCTCCACCCACCCCACAGATGGCGACGGGCAGGCCACCTCAACCGCAGACACCAAATGGAAAGACCTTTCCGGCGCCGCAGGCCAAAACCGTACCTCGGAATATCCCCGCGAAAGCTGGTGCAGCCGGTGTGACATTCATGTCGCCGCAGGTTCCACCCCCGAACATCACCTCTTCAAATCTCAGCGCTGGCAAACCGCCTGCTCCTATGCAGTCACAAATCGTACCCAAAGCTATCTCTACTCCACAGCAATCCACCCCGGTTGGCAAGCCTGCTGCTAAGGCAGGCGCACCAGCCACAGCGTCCACTCCAATTCATCAGCGTCATCCACCACAGTCGAGTTTCCAGCAATGGTCTCTGCACCAACCTCCCCAGACACCTCAGCCTTCGCCTTCACTTATCAAGCCGAAGCCTGAGCCTTCGAACAACCCTTCTTTGGAGAGGCCTGTCCCAACGTTTCAGCAACCTATACCCAGTGTTGAGAGCAAGTTGGCTCAACAGGGTCAATCGCCCATACCCTTCCCTTCAACTCCGGGCCCAGCGCCCACAGCAGCGTCCTCACCAGCTTTGGGTGTCCCAGCTCCTGGCTTCCAGACTCCAGTAGGAACCGGGCGAGCTGCTTTGATCCCGGGTCCACCAGGTTCACGTCCTTTGCGACCATCGGTTGACACCATTGGCTCACTCACGCCTTGGAAGAGGACCCCGCGTTTGAGTCTGAGCATACCCGAATCTCCCCGCTCGCCAGACCGACCACGTCCGGAGGAGATCAGTCCCATCAGCGAGAAGGCACCATCCCCGCCTGGATCTCGTGAAGCAACACCAGAAGAACCCGAGCCACGCCGTCTGAAACGCCGAACGGATCGCAAGGGCAATTCAACGAGCTCAGAGTCGAACCAACCTGCCGTCGATGCCGATACAAAACCAGGATCGAAGAGGAAGGCGGATAAACTGACACCATCCACCGGAAAAGATCGAGATCGAAGCACGGCATCGTCAAGGAGTCGCGGACGATCCGTCTTGTCGCGGGATGACGAGTCAACTACGGAAAGCGGGTCTCAGCCTAAGGTCAAGCACGAGATGCCCAGCACACCTGCTGGCGTGCCTGAAATGGCGGAGCCGGAACGTCCGTCAATAAGTCGACCAGGCCGGGGGCGGCCAAAACGCAAGCGTGCCCCCAGCGAAGAAGCCGAACCTCCTCAGACTGAAGCCAGTCAGCTCACCCGTCTTGACCCGAATCAATCGACCCCCTATGTGCTGTGTGCGCGTAGTTTCCCAAGAACCGGTGCCCCCATCATGAATGATGTCACCATGCACAAGCATGCTTCTATCTTCGCCAAGCCACTAGCAGAACGCGATGCTCCTGGCTATCGAGATCTGATCTATCGACCACAGGATCTGAAATCTATCAAGTCAGTGATGTACCAGGGCAGTAAGGCTGTCGCTGCGGCTACGGAGGCTGCTAGTACACCTGCTGGCGATGGGGAGTCCCCGGCGCCCGGTACAGGTACTCCTTCCAAGAATGCGGTTTTGATGCTCCAGAAGACGGAGGATGTCATTCCTCCCAAAGGTATCGTCAACTCGGCCCAGCTTGAGAAGGAGCTGATCCGGATGTTTGCGAACGCCGTCATGTTCAACCCTGTTCCACAGCGGGGCTTTGGACCGGGCTTCCCTATGAGCAGCGATAGTGGCTCTCGAGCAAGCACGCAGGTTCCCGAGATCGACGAAGGAGGGATCATCAAAGACACGCTGGAGATGTTCGAGGATGTCGAGCAGGCCGTCACGCGATGGCGGGCGGCCGAGCGGACCGCCGACGAGCTGGCCAGCAAGAGCATCCTCTCACTTCGACGCGGCAGTGCAAGTGATCCCATGACGGACAGTGCAGATGAGATCAAAGGCTCATGAAATCTGTGCTGCGCTATTCTACGATTCCAAAGAAAATCTATGTAATGTTAGACCCAACGGAGAGATGTAGACTTTTTCTTCCAAGTGTGATATCATGTTGGCCTTCTTCTAATTCTATAATCATAAAGCTTTTTAGGGTTTGTTGGACCCCCCTATATACCCGTGGGAAACATATGCAGAAAAGAACAACAAGAAAATATTCATATACATCATGAGTTATGGATAGGTGTTGGCATCTGGGAAGATACCGCACAAAAATCAAGCCGACCCAGCGGGGATTATCGCCTGGCTCGGCTTCGTCCTGCCCAGGCCCTCCTTAGCGTAGAAATCCATGGGATACACGCCGCCATTGGCGGTGTCCCAGCTCTCCCTGATCCCCAGCGCAATCAAGGCCTCGTAGGGCGTCAGCAGCGGCCGCGGGAACGCATACCCCCAGTCGATACTCAACCGGGGGCAAGCGATCTGCACCCAGCACTCGACATCGGCCATGGCGCCCAACTTCCCGGGAAAGATCTCACTCAGCAGCAGATTGACAAAGGGAATGTTTCTGGCGCGGAGATGACTCTCAATCATCGCCATGGTGTGGGGATTCCCCTGGCGGCCCAGGGCGCCCAGAATGATGCCCCACTTCTTGGCCGATCGGGCGGTCTGGATCGCGTCGCGGCGCAGGGTGTGCATCTCCTCGTGCTCGTAGCTCTCGCGCGAGAGCACGCGGGCGTAGGGGTCGTAGCGGTAGGCGGGGATGGCCGGGTTGTGGATCATGGCGGACTCGAGGTGGAAGCGGCCGTCGCCGAGGTAGAGGAGGTAGTCGACCTCGGCGGCGGCGAGGGTCGGCGACGTGCAGCCCAGGATCTCGCCCTTGGAGAGCGGCGTGATCTGCGGGATGAGGACGCGGAACCCCGCGCGCTCCAGCACGGGCTTCAGGCCGTGCAGCGTCGCGTTGAACTGGATCGTGCCGACCATGGCGACGGTTTTGCCCGGCTGGAAGTTGCGCTCGAGCGTCGCGACCAGGTGCGTCGTGTCGATGCTGATGTCCACGAAGATGTACAGGGTCTTGATCTGCGTCACGTCCACGGGGATCAGGCAGCTGTGCGCGTAGTGCACGAGCAGGTCGCAGCCCAGCGCTCGCGCCGTGTAGTCGTCGATGCAGCATGCTCCGTACGTCACGTCGCCCATGATCAGGGTCTCGATCCCGGTGCAGAATTGGGTCAGGATGTCCGAGATCGTGGTCGCGAAGATGAGGAGGCCCTCCGGGAATTGCAGGGCCACGCGCTTGGCGCCAGAGGTGCGGATCCGGTGGATGGTCTTCGGGATCTCGAAGGAGTAGTTCTTGGGGAGCAGGGCGATCGCCGCCTGGATGTCGGGGTCTTCGAGGATCTCCGCCGGGACTTGGTTCAGGGTTCGCGGGGTGCGTCTTGGGGCCGCTGTTGCTTTTGTGGTTAGTGTTGGGTTTCTGGGTACGGTTTTGCAGATGCGAGAGGGGGAGGGAGAGGCGCTCACCCTTCTGTATGCTCGTCGACTCGACATCCTGGTGGTCGCTGGACCCTTCCTTCTGTGCTTGGGCGTCGGCGGTGCGCCGTCCGACGAATCTCTTCTTGGGTTGCCGGAGCGGGGCACTCGATGTTGTCGGTTGATTTGATGTGTCCTCCATGACGGGCGCAATGTGTTTAAAAACAGTAACTGTGGTGTGTTGTTGCGAGTCGCGATAATTCCTATCGGACGATGGCTCGCATAGTGGGCTGAGGATAATTTAATTCTGACTAAGTGGGGGGTCACGGGCTAGGGTCGGCCTCTTCTCCGCATTTGCTCGGCGGGCGGAACATCATGATCATCACCCTCCCCATCTTCTGGTTCTAAGATACTTTAGCTTCTCGCACTTTCCACTACTGAATGCATTCTCACTTGACTACTAACTTGCTGAATATACGAGATTCATCATGATGAGCTTCAAGCCTAGAATGCGTCTCTTCTCTGTCCTCCGCTCTGCTCCAGCAGCTCGCCGCCGCTTTGCGACCGAGGCGCGGTTAACCTCGGACCATGTTCGCATCGTCGAGGTCGGCCCACGAGACGGCCTTCAGAACGAGAAGAAGTCCATCCCGCTCGAAACCAAACTCGAGCTCATCCGGAAACTGGCCAAGACGGGCGTGACGACAATTGAGGCTGGATCTTTTGTTCCTGCAAAATGGGTGCCTCAGGTACGCGAGTAGCTGTCTTTTGTACATCGTAGCGTGCGGGGAGGGGGGAGTGGCTATCCTCGAGAGGGCATCGGGGACTCAGATGCAAATGCAACCAAACCTTGATATGATACTCACAACTGGTTGATCGTTCATACAGATGGCCAGCACAGCGGAGATCTGCGAGCACCTGCTGCAAACACCGCCGGAGTCGGCCAACGTCATTGCGTACAACTACCTGGTCCCGAACGTCCGAGGCCTCGAGAACCTGATCAAAGTCCTGGATGCCACCGGCGTCCCCGCCGACGCCCCGTCGACCACGACGGAGATCTCCTTGTTCGCGGCCGCGACGGAGGCCTTCTCCAAGGCGAACACGAACTGCACGATCGACGAGTCGCTGGAGCGCGTGCGGCCGGTGGTCGCCCTGGCGAAGACGCGCAATATCCGGGTGCGCGGCTACGTCTCGGTGGCGCTGGGGTGTCCCTACGAAGGGCCCGAGGTGTCGCCCGTCAAGGTGGCGGACATCACGCGCTCGCTGCTGGAGATGGGCGCCGACGAGGTCTCCGTGGCGGACACCACGGGCATGGGCACCGCGCCCCGCACGATGGAGCTGCTGCAGGCGCTTCGCGCGGCCGGCATCGCCAGCACCGACCTCGCGCTGCACTTCCACGACACCTACGGCCAGGCCCTGGTTAACACGATCGTGGGGCTGGAGCATGGCATCCGCATCTTCGATAGTAGCGTCGGCGGGCTCGGCGGCTGCCCCTACTCCAAGGGCGCCACGGGGAATATCTCGACGGAGGACATGGTGCACACGGTTCACAGTCTGGGGATGAATACCGGGATCAACCTGGAGGAGATGGCGAGGATCGGGGCGTGGATCAGCGGGGAGCTGGGGCGGTTCAATGAGAGCCGGGCCGGGAAGGCGATTTTGGCGAGGAGTGAGGAGGGTAAGTAGACGGCCTTACGATTTCCTTCAAATCAGATAGTGGTATTCTTTGAGCTTGAGCATCCAGGAAATAAAGCATCCAGGGAGAGCCGACGATTGTGTATGTACTGTACATCGAGAGCATTACCAGCCATTGTGTCCACCAATCCCCGTAGCACGGTAGTCTTGCGCCTAGTCGTAATAAAACAGTGTAAAGCATCTTTCAGATAATTATCGTACAAAGAACCATGATATGCATACAATCACACCCAACATATGAAAAACCCAACATCCAACCCCTCAATCCAAACACGTATGTAACCCACCACAACCCTCCAAACACTTCCCCAGCAGGACCTTATACCGGGAATCTAGAAATCCGTCACCCGGCCCCCATAACTCCAATCCCCGCCAGCCCCCCACCGCAACGGCTCATTCTTGGGGCCCCCAATCTCCCCGGTCTTGGGATTCTTCTCCCCCTCGAACTCGGGCTTCAGCCCCGTTTTGATGTCCGGATGCAGTTCCTCGCCCTTGCCCGTGGCCTTGATCTCTGCCGCCGAGGCAGTCGAATCCGGGGACTGGTTGACGCGCGGGGTGCTGAATGCGCCGGTGGAGTTGCGCTGGAGTTCCTCGAAGATTTCTTGTTGTTCTTTGGGGAGGCGCGGCGGGGCGGGCCCGCGGTTGAAGGCGAAGGATGGGCGGGTTTCGTCTTCTGAGCGGAAGGCAGGGGTGGTTGTGAAGGTGCGGGTTATTGTTGCTTTGGTGGTGGTGGTGGCGGTTGGTTTGGTGAGGTGGTGGAGGAAGAGGCGGCGGGTGGGGTGGAGGAGGGACATTCTGGTTGTATGTATTTTATTGAGGTTTGGGTGTGAGGTTGAGTTTGGGGTGTATGTAGTAATGTAAATGGGTTTGTGGTTGAACAGTGTGTTGTTGTGTAGTTGTAGAAGATGCGGAGGAGTGGCGGACAAGAAATTCGAGGGCGGGAGAGGGAAACACACACCTCCAAGAACCGATAAGCCTGATTGTCCCGATAGCCGCGTCTCGGGGATCTCGGCTTGGGCAACCGCTGGTACAATTGGTCTGCTGGGATTGCACGGCAGTCACTGGTTTTGTCGTAGCGTGTGAGCTGTGATGGTTGGGCTGTACTGTAGTTCTACTTAATGTCATACATGGGAGAAGTCTATATGGGATGACCTTTATTCAATTCGATGGTGCCTGAACTTACAGACTCACAGTCAAGATGCTCATAGTCGATAAGAAACTCTATGTCAGTCACGTGGACGGCAGGCCAGGCTGTCGCAGTTGCGCTCAACCGTCCGTCCTCTCTTCAATCGTCAACGTCATGTCACCTCCAGCTTATTACATGCCCATTGCGACAATAATCTTTATAACTAAACGTCCCTGTTGTATTTTCCACCGATGGCACTAACTGTTACTTCTGCTACTTCTGCTGTATGCTTCACTTCAAACTGAACCCTCCTTGTAGTCTCCCCCTCTCTCCTTTCTGGTTATGTCTTCACCGTCTAGAGAAGACGAACCATCAATGCTGCCTCTCCCCGGAGCGCCATCTTCGTCATGGTCCCAGTTTCGTGGACGCCTTGCGGCTCTCTTCCATGGAGCTGATCCCAGAGTCTGTGTGGCATTTTGGCTCTTCGGTAAGCTCGATCTACTCCGCCGACCCCCTTCAACATGGCGATAGCCCGTACTGATCGCTGCCGGGGTTCACCTGTCCCATCTGCGACAGGCTTAATCAACAATGTCCTCTATGTCATTATTCTCTCTGCTGCCCTGGATCTCGTCGGCCCCGACCTGCCGAAAGGTGTGGTGCTGCTCGCCGACGTGATCCCCTCATTCGGCACCAAGCTGGTCGCTCCGTATTTCATCCAAGCGGTGCCGTATCCCGTAAGGGTCTTGGTATTCGTCACCTTCTCTACCACCGGCATGCTGCTCGTTGCCTTGAGTCCGGCCTACACGGACGGTGGCCCGATTGCCACTAAGATCGCAGGCATCATCCTGTCAAGCATGTCCAGCGGAGGGGGCGAACTTTCCTTTATCGCTCTCACGCATCACTACGGCCCGTTCAGTCTGGCTTCTTGGGGCAGTGGCACGGGTGCTGCGGGCTTGGTGGGTGCTGGCGCATACGCTTTAGCCACCTCCTCTTTCGGCTTCAGCGTCAAAGCAACTCTTCTGGCCTCGGCGTGTTTGCCGGCGGTCATGGTTATTAGTTTCTTCACGATTCTACCCCAGTCCCCGGTGCGCTCGTTTTCGGCGCGGAGGACAGGCTACAGTTCTCGGGAGGAGCACACAGCCGATGACATTGATGAGAGGGAGCAGTTGCTCGACGAATCGACCGATGAGAGTCAGAGCCAGAAAAAGCCAGCTTCCAACGATACTGGCCTTGGATGGCAGGCGTTTAAGGCTAACTTACAGCGATCTAAGGGACTCTTTCTTCCATTGTGAGTATATCCTGCACCCCACTCAACCCGATTGCATGTTCTTACGAAGTCTTCCAGTATGCTCCCACTGTTGCTGGTCTATGTCGCCGAGTACACCATTAATCAGGGTGTCGCACCGACATTGCTTTTCCCTCTCCAAGACTCCCCGTTCGACCACTATCGCGCATTCTACCCAGCATACAATGCGATCTACCAAGTTGGGGTCTTCATCTCGCGGTCTTCGACCCCTTTCTTCCGCGTTCATAGTCTGTACTTTCCGTCTTTCTTACAATTCCTCAACCTAATCATCTTGACGCTACACTCGCTGTTCAACTTCATCCCCAGCGTGTGGTTGGTGTTTGGGATTGTTTTCTGGGAAGGGCTTTTGGGCGGCCTTGTCTATGTCAGCACTTTCGCCGAGATCGCCGATCGGGTGCCGGTGGAGGAACGGGAATTCTCGCTGGGAGCCACGACGGCGAGTGACTCGGGCGGCGTCTGCATTGCCGGGTTTATCAGCATGGCGTTTGAGGTCTGGCTCTGCGATTGGCAAGTTGCGCGTGGACGAGACTACTGTCGGAGATTGTAGATTGTGAGTGTTAATGCGATGAGTGGTTAATACATATACAGCCTGCATAGAGCAGTGTGCACTAGGGTCAGATCAGCATAAATAATAATCAACCATCATATACCTCAAATAGAACAATGGCTGGGAAATACTCATACCTGGAGTCAATTCTGGCGCAGCTGATCTGGTGCAGTGGGGGGTCACGGGACTGGACTGAAAGGAAAAGAAGGAGGAGATCAAGTGACATGTGACGGACCGGGTGCATTTCACCGACTCATTCATCCATCCGTCCCTCCATTCATCTCACATCCATTCATCTTTCCCCCCTCTCCCCCACCACCATTGTCTTAGCACCATTCCTGCACCGGACCAAGTGCAGATCGTTTTGCTCCGACCATGTCTCAAGCCGACTCTTACCCCCAGATGAATAAGCTCCACGTCACTGGATCCAGCCAGCAGGCATGGTCCCTGGTGGGGATTTCACATGCTCGGCTGAGCTTCGTGGGCTTTTGCTGCCCCGTATCCATGGCTGACGGACGGACGGACTGACCACACCCTTCTCGAACTACTATTCACTACCCCATATTTT